TTGGTGTCAGTCAGTAACAACAGTGCCCCTTGCTTGGGCTTGTGGCGGCTGGAGCAGAGTGCGGTGCCTCGCTGAGGAGCTGCCCTGCTGCCTCACCAGGGCCTGCACGTGTGCCATGTCTTGTCCTGATGGGGACAGATGGAAAGGAAAACACATGAGAAATTGCTCAGTAGGCTCGGTGACTATGTGAGTCTCCCAGTTGAAATTTAAGATTAATTTAGGTGCCAGAAACGTATTTTCTTTCCTCATTAAGGATGCTGAGTAGATAGTAAGTCTTGGCTGAAACAAATCACCAGAGGAATATAGGCATTTTTTGCTGATGAGCTTTGTTTTTTGTGGCTTGGTACAATAGCTAATCTTAGCAGGGGAAGGGAGTTGTTTTGGTTTTGGGTCGGTTTGTTTTTCCTTTATATAAGGCATGTAGGTACAGGGGTAGAAAGAGGGTAGGAACAATGCTGTGTGTAATGCATGCTGCTGTACATTAAGGAAATTAGTGGCAGAGTAAACCCATACCTGGTTTATCATGACTGCCCAAGATCCCTGTTTCACATAAAATGTAAACATCTTTGATAGCTCTTTCCTGCCCAAAACAAATGCAATGGGAAGGAGCTGGAGAAATGGAAACGGCCAAGAAAAAGCTGATTGAATCACTCTGAGCTGAACAATTGTTCATTTGCTGCTTGTCTCCTTCCAGGCCCCTGGCACTGCAGAACCCCGAGTCACGTGCTGGGAAGCCTTGCTGTTTGTCCTGGCTTGTCAAAACAATTTAATGTAGGTGGAAAGGAATGAATGAAATGAGCGGAGTAGGCTTGATGCATCTGTTTCAGTTTGTTCGAAGGGCAGCCCAGTGATTGGGATGTGACACTTAGGTCCTCCAGGGAAGCTATCAGTTTAGGAAGAACAATGCTGTCCATTTTATAAGGCTGTTAAATCCATTTTAGGAAACAAGCTCTCCTATGGTTTGACAGCTTTGTATATTTTTAAAAATATTTGGGCTATATGTGCTCAGCATGTGCCAACTTAGCTACTGCAGGAATGTGATTTGCTAACTTCTAGATTTAGGACTTTGTCTTGTCTGCCTAAGGTTGCTTATGGTTAAAAAAATACTGAGAAAGGAGAGAGTATGTCCATTTTTAAATTTTATTAGTGGGAATTCCAAAATGATTTGGTCTTTGAAGGATAGGATATCAAGCTGTGTATTATTAACTGTTCTTAAAGTGCTGGCTTCTTTATAAAATTGCTCAAGTTTCCTAGGCTTATGGAAAACTACCAGTGAGTCTTCTACTTTGCTTAGTTTCTGGGTGTTTGATTAAAAATAAAATCAAAGAAATCAACAAAAACATTAAAATTGTCTAACTAACCTTGTACTTGGTGAAACTGGAATGTTAATCTGTGAAGCCTATATTTCTGCTTTCAAATGAGAACAGCAAACGTGTGGAAACGATCCATCTATGTACCTGTTTACACCATGAGTTATTGGAAAAAGGCTGCAGGGGATAAATCTGCTTATCTGATTCACGCTTACAGTAATTGAATCAAAAAGAGGGCATATTTTGAGTGATTGGCCACAGACTTCATGACATCTTTAGAAGTGGAGATGGAGCTGAGGGTGTTGCAATTCTGCAGACTCCAGCTCAGAGGCCGGGGTGGATTCTGAGTATTGCCCCCAGTAGCTGCCTTGCTGGGATGGCACTTCTGGGCTTGAGATTCCTTTGGAGTATGCAGTTAGAGCTGAGGACTGTGAAAACTGTTCCCAAAGTCTTGCAAAACACTCCGAAATTCTCACTAAGTGATGATGGCTTCTTTCTCTCTGCCACGCTGTACAGCCACTTTCTGGATTCCATGTGATGCTCAATACTCTCATTCCCCTGCTTTTCCTGAGCTATTTGTACCTAATGTGGCTAGTAACATCTCAGTCTCCCAAATTACATACAGCACTCTATTTCATTTGCTTATTTCAATATTTTCATAGCTGCAGTTGCTTAAGTTGCATTTTTGTACAGGCATGAGGTGAAGTTGTTGCTTTTGCCCATGTTAACAGCTCAAAGGATGCCAACGTGCATTTGGGATGGGCTCTGGTCTGTCTCTGTGCAGCCTGGGAGATCTTGCTGTCTGATATTTTTAATTACTCAGGTTTTGGAAGTGGACATGTCATTTTAAATTGTATGTCGGCCTGCAGGCCAACTGTTTGCAAGTTGCATTAGAATGTAATTTGTACAGCTAAGACCAGTCACTGTGTATACAGACTTTGTAGGTATAATTGTACAGGAGATTCAGTATTTTCCTGAATGTTAGGGCTGTGGGTTCTTTTAAAGCATATTGACAGTCTTCTGTAACCTAGCATTAGTGTTCCTTTAGGAGAAGAATATAAAAAACCTGTTTTGGATGAGGGTGTGGGTTGTGTGTCCAAGGAAATGAGGGTAGTAAAAGGTAGTATGCATCGCTGGGCTTAGGAAACAAGTGGCCTCTCTGTCTTTTTCTTCCAGCTCTGTTTAATGTTCCCTTCTGCTGCTGCAGTTATGTACTGAAGGGTGCAGGGTTTCCTTGGTTGCAAAAACATAGCAGTGTTCCTGGGTGAAGGTTTTTGGCCTGTGCTTTGTCCAAACTTGTCGCAGATCACCGGGGCACCGTGGCTTTCAAAGCAGCGTTGTTTCACTCAGTCTATTGCAGGTCCTGGTGGGTTTTTAATGCCAGCACTGAAGTGTTGAGTGTCTGTGCTGAAAGTCACAGCTGTGTTTGCAGGAACATGGTGCTGCTGCCCTGGATGTGACCAGAGAGAGAAATGAGTCCAGGTGTGGGTGCCTCTGCTCATTGATAAGAAAGAGTCATCAGAACTTGTTGGTTTCTAGCTGGGGACAGCAGTACAGGGGAGGGAAAACTGAATAAAGCCCTTAAGGGAGATTGGGTTATATGGATTAAAATGAGAATGAAATGAAATATATTTGACTTGATGTTAAATTTAGATCTAAAACAGGTTAACAGTGTTTGTGGTAGATAACTTGTTAGTATGCACACAATAAAGAAAATGTAATCCAAGTGTGTATCTAAAATCTTGGGTTTGGACAAAAATGAATGCAGGTGTTCATACTGACTATTTAAAAGTGATAGAAGAGTGATTGTTGCAGCCTTTTTTATATAATGACCATATATAAAGCTCAATTTACAGCTAAATAGAGTGGTTTAAAAAAGTGAATTAAATGGGTCAAGTGCAGAGGCTGAGAATAGTGCTTTATTTTCCTGTAGGAAAGATGATATTGTGGTTGTGTTGTTTGAAGCACTGTTGCTTAGGAGTGTGTGTGTATGGTCAGCTGTACCTCTTGCTGCTCACTGCTTTTCTGTCTCACAGCAGTAGAAAGCAGCTAAGATGAGGTTTGAAACAGAGCTTGTGCTGCCTTGTTCATTGTAATGAAAGGAAAGCTTTTAGGTGGGTAAGACAGCTCAAATGGGAGTGCCAATTGCATATGAAAACCCCTGCAGCACCTAAGCAGACACGAATGCTCAGTTGTTGGTGGAGTGTTTCTGCAAATCAAATCTTTGCTACATCAAAACTCATGCAAGTACGCTTATGAAAGAATGGGGAGGGGTGGCAATGCTGTTCTGCAGAGTGAGGGAGTTGTAGGATTGAATGCTTTTTGATGTCTGTAGATTAAATTAGTCATACTTAAGGATTTTGCATTTTCCTAAGAATTGTAAAAGTGAGTGATGTTCATAGATGCCAATAGGAAATCCCTGAGGTATTTCAAACCTGTTTTCAGACTTTTACCTGGGGAAATTGTATCCTTCTGAAAATTGGAGCTACATCTGAAAAAGAAGTTTGTCCATGCCTGAAAATACCCTGTGAACCTTTCAGAAGAAGTTGATGATCTTAGTGAATGTAGAATGGTTTAGATATTATATGGCTGAATTGTATTGAGAAAACACATGACCTGTAAACAAAGGAAGAGGAATTACTGTCTAGAGGACAATGGGAGTATAAGTAAATCCTGCATGTTTTTACTGCCTCCTTGTAATGGAAAAGACAATGTGAAATCAAGTGACTTAAAATTAATACTTAGATCTGACAAACAGGTCTTTGGTTATTGCTAAATAACTGTTAGAAATGATGCTTCTGAAATTTTTTGCTTTAAGTATATGCTGAAATATTTTGGTTTTTTAATGCAAACTGTCTGTGGAGCCAGTTTGTGCCAGTCAGACTGGTGTGAGCAGTGCATTGGTCAGCTGAGAGCACTGCATGGCACAAGGAGATGTCTTCTCTTAGAGATGTGCTGCTCACTCAGGTAATAGCTGCTTGGAGTCCTGGTGGGAGCTGATAGCCAGCTGTTGGTAGGTAATGCAACAGGATGGTCCAGGAATGCTTTTTCCTCTTCTGTCTCTGGCCAAAAGATTGCTCTCTGTCTATACTGGGAGCTTTTGGTTTTGTTGATGTGAGATTTCAGGAAACTTGCTCAATGATGAGGTTCTGCTTTTAATCAAAGAAAACCCAATTCATTCACTTGATGGTCTTACAGCTACAGGAACATACTGTGTGTTAGCAGAGGTTTGATCTTTACCCCCTCTCCTCTGGGTGGCTCATCCCATCTGTTACCAGTGGTCTGCATAGACGTCCAGGAGTAATGAAAGGTTGTTGCTGTGTACAGCAGGAGAGGGAGATGCTCTAAATGATCTGATTGCATTCTCAAACACTCAAGTGTTCAAGACATTGTCCCCATTCCACCCCAAGTCAGGCAGCAGCTGAAGTTAAGAATAATGCAGGAGGAAGCAGAAAGAAGAGTTAATCTACAGACCTGCAGTCCTTAACCCTGAGAGCAGTAGAATTATAAAGAACAACATATTATAAAAAAGAGTGTAATAGGATGTGTTCAAAACAGACTATTTAAAGGTAATTGCAAACCAAATGGCATTTAAGACACCCGATCCTTGTGTGTACCTGTTTTCAAGCTGCTGCCTCTCAATGAGAAAATAAAGCAAAACTTTCTGATGCACCTTTTCTTTTCCATTAGGATCGGAAGCTGTCCAAGTCAGAGCGACAAAGATTTAAAGAGGAAGCTGGGATGCTGAAAGGGCTTCAGCATCCCAATATTGTCAGGTTCTATGATTCCTGGGAGTCTACAGTCAAAGGAAAAAAGTGTATTGTTCTTGTGACGGAACTCATGACGTCTGGAACATTAAAAACGTAAGTAAATGAAGACAAGTCACAGCGATTCTGTTTCATTAGCACAACAACAGAGCACCAGAAATTGGTGCTGTTTAGAGTGGATGACAACAGAGCCCTTTTGCTGAGGGATAACCTCCTGCAGGAACACTCTTGATAAAGAGGATAATTATTAACATTGTGGGTTTGGTAGAACATCTTTTAAGTTAGCAAGCTCGTCAGTTCTTACTTGGGATGTCCCAGTAAGCACATGCACAAGACTTCTGGACTTCAAGAGCTCAGGAAGGCAATGCTCAGTTTTCACTTTTTCACAGATTTTTTTTTTTTTTTTTGCCTCCAGCTGCTTTCCATCTAGGATGAGCTAGTTTGTAAAGCTGAAAGCTCAGTGAAAATCACAGTGCAGGAGCTGCAGCCACTGTGAGGGCCTCTAGCAGTGTGTGGGGCTGCTGGGGGCTGGGGAGCCAGCTGCCATCCCTGAGCTGGGAATGCTGGCCTGGAATAACGGGGCTGTGTCCCTCTCTGCCATCCCTGTGCTGGGAATGCTGGCCTGGAATAACAGGGCTGTGTCCCTCTCTGCCATCCCTGTGCTGGGAATGCTGGCCTGGAATAACAGGGCTGTGTCCCACTCTGCCATCCCTGTGCTGGGAATGCTGGCCTGGAATAACAGGGTTGTGTCCCTCTCTGCCATCCCTGTGCTGGGAGCAGTGCTGCAGCCCTGCAGAGAAGGGGCTCTGCAGCCTCTGCTCCATGCCTGGCTCTCCCTTGGAGAGAAATCCCCCCTGGCCATGGGAGCAGGATCAGTTTGCTGTCCCTGTGGCTGAAACAGCCTGTGAGTGGCTGTGCTTTTCACTGTGCTCATTGGTGGCTACCAGTGCACCTTCTGCAGCAGGAAAATGGCTCTTTGGGACTCTGGGCTGCAGTTACAGGGAGGTATTTCTCTTGGAATAGTACTGGATGGCTCAGGATACAACAACATTCTCTAGCTGTGTGTTCAGTGGAGACATTGCTCAGGTTGTTTAAGGTATTTCAGATAAAAAAATAGATCTGCTGCTTCATGTGCCGTTTTCAGACAAGTAATAAGTTAATGGTTTTGCAGCTCTGTACAGATGCCTTTAAATAAAGTTTACCTAATTTTCTGCTGAATGTGTAGTGCTAGATTTTTTTTCTCCCTTTTTTACTCCTTTATCCCTCTTACAGATTTTAATATTTGGATTGGCTTGTGTGATATCATAAGCAAGATGAAGTAATAATAGACAATTACAAAGTAAGGTGTTGGTAGGAAGAAATACCCCAGGTTTTCTGTCTGTGAGATTATTTTGTACCTTGAAATAAGAAAGCCTTTTTATTTAATCTGGAAAAAAAACATGCTCTTTAATTGAAGATCTTTTAGACTGTAGAGTTCTGGCTAGAGTTTTTCCCCACTCTTTTATAGCTGGTGTTATAATTGTGATTTAGTTTATTCTAGTCCACTTATTTAAGACTTGACAGGTAAACTGTATGGGGGATTTCAAGTGTGCCTTAATTATTTCATGTGCTTGTGGCAAATTCCTAGATTTACACTGTACAATTGTGTTTCCATATATTTGACTATTACTTCCATATCTTTTTTTCAGTATGTTTACATTACCTGCATTTGATAAAAGCAATGCCTTTCTTGTTTTGGTACTTGGGCCATAGACATTGTTGCCACTTGATGTAAAAAAGTGAACAGAATACAAGTGTGATGGCATCTTAAAGGAAATTTTCTCTTACCTTTTTTTTTTTTAGTAAGGATTCCTATAGCTCCTTGAGCTGTGTGTAACTAATTACAGAAACTTAGACCAGAAACCTCCTGAGGTCTCTTTGAGCCCAGGTTATTCTATGATAGTAGGAAAAGTGAAAACATACAGGCTAGTAGGCTTGTCTATTTTTGTGTATTTATATCTGTTTCCATTTTAAATTGTTCTCTGCACTAAGTGACATGTGACTTAATTTGGGACAGTGTTAGGGAACAGTGACAGCCACACTGCACAATGCTGGGTGATGGTTGGATGCAGGTCCTTTAACAGGGAGAAGCTGGCAGTGTTCTAGCATATTTGTAACCAAGAATGTACTTAGGGATTCCAGATGCTGAACTGAAGTGCCCCTACCATGTGATCTTTGGAACAGGCTCAAGAGAGATGAATGAGGGTTGTGTCAGTAGCCAGAATTCAAGTGGTAGCTGATGGATTCAGAACCTCCTTCAGCTTGTCTCCTCCTTGGCTTGGCTTTTCCCCTGCCTTTCTTTACGTTCTGAGACCTGATTTCCTCTGAAACTGTCTCAATTGCTTTTACAGATTTGTTTGCACAGTAGGATCATTCCTAGCAACTTAATTTTCCAGATCTTATTTTGAACTGGAAAAATTAAAATAAAAGGGACGAATACACTGCATTTCTGTGTTGGAGCTGATTGAAGTGATTTCAGCAGGCTGTATCTCCTATTGAAGTGAATCTGCAGAAGAGACTGACCACTACTATGGAATAATTGAACACAACTTGCTTTTAGTTTTAAGATTGCAGTTGCTGGATTCCATGCTGGTTACAGAATTTACCAGCAGTCTTGCTGTAGTGTGAAACTGGTCTTTATCTGAGACTCTGGCTAAGTAACATTGCCTGAACAAGAATAAAGCCCTTGCTCTATGCAATGTGCTATTCTCTACATGTAGTCCAGCCCATACTTTTTCAGAAGGAACAAAACAGCTCTTCATTACAAATGTTACCCAAAGAGAGCTGGAGAGAAAACCTTGCTGGAAGGCACTTGAAAACTGTCAGAGGTTATTCACCTTGTGGCATCTCTAATCTGCTGAAGTTAAGTAATAGAATAAGATAGTAGTCTTAGGTCATGCATGTTGAAAAAATATTTTTGGTATGACATTTGACTCTTCTGCCATGGGGTTTCAAGGAGTGGCAAAGATAGAGCAGTTAAGGTTGGGTAGCATTCTACCTGCAAAGGGATACAGACTGGTATGAGCTCTTCCACCTCAGCTATTGGACAGAGCCTTGTTAAAGGTTTCTCTGCCCTCTCTGTGACTGGCCATAGTTTTGAAGTAATGAGTAGTACCAGTTGGATTCAGGTGATCAAACCCTGTCCTGCATCAGGGAGGGGATCTCTGAGAATTTCTAATTTACTTGATAACTCCACAGTTAAATTTGAAGCAGATTTAAAATGTAATGTGGAAACCTTGAACAGAGTGCTTGGACCCCTCCTGTAAACAAGGGAGTGCCGATTTCAGAGCTCTTGCAGTTTTCCACAGCTCTGTACTTCGTTGATTATTAACATTCTGGATCTAGTGACCCACCTCCCCACCCAGCTAGAATTAATTGAGGTAGATGTTTTAAGTGCTTCAGAAGTTAAATAGATAAAGACCTGTAATGCACAAGCCCTGACTTATTTGTCATTGAAGCAGTGCCTTGAAATTTAGCAATCCAGCTGTCTAATTACCATAGAATGATTTTGCATGCAGAGGAGTTATCAGCTATGTACACCAAGCTTTCACACTTTCGTTTCATCAGTATAGTCTGATGGCTAGAAGAAAGGGGATGGGTTTTGTAAAGGGGAATCATCTTTAGCTCCTCTGAAGTCCTGAAACACCCAGGTAGATTTAAAGTAGAGGTTTAAATTTATACATGTCTTTAATTACTGTTTCTTTGCTTCCAAGCAGCAAATGGTATAGTTTAATCTACTGTCTGTTAGCAGGATCTCTTTAACCTATTGTTACTTTTTTCATTAGGTATTTGAAAAGATTTAAAGTGATGAAAATTAAAGTACTACGAAGCTGGTGCCGTCAGATACTGAAAGGCTTACAATTTCTACACACACGCACTCCTCCCATCATTCATAGAGACTTAAAATGTGACAACATCTTCATTACTGGCCCCACTGGATCAGTCAAGATTGGAGACCTTGGTCTGGCAACCCTGAAACGAGCTTCTTTTGCCAAAAGTGTGATAGGTAAGCCTCTCCTGTTTTGGAGGCTGTTGAGCCAGCCTACCTCTTTAGAGACTTGAGTGTTTTAAGAACTTTCCCAAAAAACATGCTTACAAAGGTACATGGTCAAAGCCTGAAAGTGTGTAGGCTTTGTCTCTTGGTTGCTGAAGTCATTCTGTGTTCCTAATGCAAAGACATGGTGAAATTTTGGTTGTGCTTTTGTTATCTATATATTAACATTAGCTATTTCAGAATATGGAGTTCTTGTTCTGCCCAACAATCTAGTGCAACATTGTTGATAAAACCACTCTTTATTATGTATAAATCTTACCTTTGATGTGGTGCTGCTTCAAGAAATATACAAATGCATTTTGGTGACCAAACAACATTTTGATATTTAGTGTAGCATTAGTTCATATGGCCAAATTTTTTTTAATTGTCACCAGGGGTTAATATTGAATCTCTTGCAGCTTGTGAATAATCAGAAGCTGAGGTATACCAAAGTCAATACTATATATATGTATTTTAATAATAACAGACTGTGGTGTAATGCCTTATTCAGGAGGTCTGTAGAATGTGGATTTGTGTGAGTTAGGAGGGTGCATTGGGAAATACTGCTTTATTCTGGCTCTGTCCCTATGTATCCATTCATAACCTTTTTCAGAAATTGGTTTGGTGGAACTAGAGTAATTTTTCTTGTGGATTCTTGAAAGAATTGGTTTTATCAGCTTTGTTTTTATGGTTGGGTGGATAGACTGCAGGGAATGAAGTTTCTTTCGCTCTCAGTATTTAGAGCTTGCTAAAATTCAGCATTACTCAACAGTCCTGTGCCAGATTCCTAGCTGGGATCAATGGTGTATACCTGTAAATTTTCTCACAAGCTGTCACTGAAATATTTCCTGCTTCTTAACCAGGTCAAAGTATTAATAGGGAAAAAAAGAATGGTGTTAAAAACCATAATTTCTTAAGCATATTTGTCAAATCTTCAAATTTATCACTGGAAAATTACCATCTGTTACATAGTTATCTGCTAATGATTAGCCTTTGGATAAATGACTGCAGTTAGATTCTTTTTGGTTTGGTGTGATGAAAACAAGCAATGGGCTGTAGAGTGATCTGTAAATTGTCTGGAATCTGGTGTCTGCAGGAAATAATTCTGTGCTTAAATTTACAAAAAGCAAACTTGCATCTCTGGCTTAAAGTAAATCTGATCATACAATGCAGTCCCTTTGTTTGCAGAAGGGATCTGTGATGCTTCACTGGGCCATAATTTTCTGCACACTATTTAAATGGGACTTGTTGAATCTCACGCTCTATGCCTGTAACTCAATCTCTCTGTATTTCTGAGTATTTTTGACTGTAGGATGTCCCTCACTAATGCCTGTATCTGCAGTAGGCCTATAAATATACTGCAGGTGGGAAGGTAAGTATATGAAGAAAAGGGCTCTGGTGAGTGGCCTTTGCAGAAAATTACCTTTTATCCTCTTTTCACGGCGATTTGTATTTGTAACAACGGAGCTTTTCATTGCAAGGCCTTACCCGAACCATTCTACTTGAGCAAGTAGATGGAGAGCACCAGTCAGAGACTAGCTGTGGGCTCTTACCAGTACTACTGCTTTTGCAGCAGAGGGCAGTCAGGTAATCTGTGAAACAAGCTTTAATGTGCCTCTTTCCTTACAGGGAGAAAAGGTAAGTGCTTTAACTCTCCTTAGTATTTGGTTTGCAGCCTATGGCTAGTCTGCAGTTTTTCCCTCTTCTCGTCCCCTCCCCTCCCGTTTGATTTCAGGCTAATGCAGTCTGTTCTGATTTTGGTATCAGCTAACGTCCCTAAACCAGGAATCGCATCACATCTCACATGCCATTGTTATTCCACCAAGGCCTTGCAATGGAAGACTCACAAAGTGCATTGGTGCAACAGAGTCACTAAGGGTTTCCTCCCTCTTCTTTTTGCCTCCACTTTGTCTTGTCTCACAGGTCTGCCCAGCCGCGTGCCCCTGCGGTGAGTAACGCCAGCAGCCTCTGCTCGCTTTGAGACATTTAGAGTCTGAATCGTTCTTTTAATTTAAGGTACCCCAGAGTTCATGGCCCCCGAGATGTATGAGGAGAAATATGATGAGTCCGTTGATGTATATGCTTTTGGGATGTGTATGCTAGAGATGGCCACGTCTGAGTACCCTTATTCCGAGTGCCAAAATGCCGCGCAGATCTACCGCCGAGTGACCAGCGTAAGTCCCTCCTCACCCCAGCCCAAAGCTGCTGCTGCCAGCAGTGCTGTGCAAGTGTGTGCAGGGAAGAAGAGCTGAAAAGAGGTTATGTTGGGATGAGTGCTGGTTGAACTCGTGGAACATCTGTCCAAAGCTTGTAAAATACGTGAATGGAAATAAAATTGTGCATTTGTTCATATTCTTCTTTCAGTATGTAAGTAGGTATTATATAGGGTTTAAAAAAAAAAATATGAAGAAACCAACCCCCCAAACCAAATAACAAAATGCACTAGAATAATAACAGATTATTTTCTAAGCCACTTGGGGGATGGTGGAAGTAGTTCTGTCTGAAGAGGAGCTGGTAACCTTGTTCTCTGCAATAAAGCTGGATAACAGATTTGAGCACTGGCTTAGCTGCCTGCCAGTTACCTAGAGTGATTTTAATGGTTTATTGAACTCTGAGTGGTCCTTAGCTCCTGTGTTTTGGGGCACTTCTTATTATGATGAAGTGGAAACACTTGATAAGTAGCAGGAAGCTATTCCACCCTGGTAAGTGCTGGGCAAGTGTAGTGGTGGAGTCACTGTGGGAGAAAACAAATACAGCTGAGAAGGCAATCAAGAGATCAGAGCTGGTCCATCTGACCAGACTGAGGGGAACATGCAGACCTTGAGTGTAGGAAGCAGAAATGTGCAGCATTGGTGTGGTTAGATTTAATCTGTGCTATCTGAGGCGTGTTGTGAAGACTGTACCAGTGCAGTGAAACAAACACCTTCAACCTTGTGACCCAAGCACTCAGAGAGAACAGTGAGGTGGCTGCTTGGGGAAGTGAAAACTCGCATTGGATTTCTCAGAATACCTGTGCACATGTGCAGGGGAGGAAAAAGCAAGCCAGACTTAACCTCTTCATCCATAGACAAATGAGTTCTGTTAATCTTCTGTGCACATTATTTCAGAGAAGTTGCAGGTTTAATAGCTACTTGCTTAGCTTTAGAAAAATAAAATGCTCTCTTGTTCCTGATGCCTCACACTGCAAAAGGCAGATATAACTCCTGACTTAGAGCTGGAGATGAGTCTTTGTGTGAGAAGCAATGAATTCTGAAAAGAGGCTTGGTGTGAAATAAGACTATCCCATTTTTTCAGGGAAATATTGGAGGGGCACAGAAGAAGGAAAAAAAGGCATAAGCGGTCACTTTGTTTTTTTGCACAGATGTTAGAATAAGTTTTTATATACATATATACATACAGAGTTGCTGATTGTTTTGGTTTGGTTTCTTTTTGCATGTTGGCAAACTTACCTGTTATTTTCTAAATAGAATTTAAGAACTAGGCTAAAGGCTAGTCCTTACTCTGTGTGCAGCATAGTTGACCTGCAGGCAGCTGGGACCAGTGAGAGAAAGCTACATATCTTACTAGAACAGTCTCTGTGGTACCTTTTACTGTGCTTCTGGAAGTGTCTTGGACAGAGCCAAAGCAGCAAAATTTGGATGGACATTGCCTAATGGAACTGTCCTGCCTGTTCCTTAAGAAGTGCTGGGAACTGGGCTGTTGGTGAGAATCAGCTGCTGAGACAGTCTCAGGTTTGGAAATCCCCAGCTCTCACAGATCTGTCCTTTCCCTGCTCTTTGAAGTACAGAACTGGAAAGCTTTGGGGCTTGCAGCAGGAAAGGTTAGCTAGAGACTTAGCAGGGTTGCACTTACCACTTGTTTCTTGTGTGTGCTGCTCCTTTCTCCCCGTAGTTTCTGGCTGACAGTGGAAATTCTGAGTTGATGAGCAACACTGGTAATTTTTTGGTCTGTCCCACACCACCTTTTATTGTGCTCTGCTGATGGTTCACAAATCAAATTTATTGGTTGATTTATTTTCCCAGCTATTTAATTTACTGCTTGAGAGCTCTAAAGATATACTTTGATATGAAATCCAGCAGATCTTGTTTTCTTTCAGGAGGAGCAAAGGACAGGAAGGTAAAGAAACTGAAATGTACATTGTCTGCTTCTAAAGGCTGTGTGCTTTGATATATTTGGGGTTTATTTCAGTGGACTTGCAGAGCAGTTTGTTCAAAACAAAACCAATGAAGCAAGATGTGAAGAATTTTCAAGGGAAGCTTTCAATGAAGCAAGACAACGTTTTCTGGAAATAAAACAATCCTGTTTTAACTGATAATGCAGGATTTGGTGTTCTATAAAGGAGAAAGAGACCTGTGTTATGAAAATGAAATAAAACACTCCTGGCATTCCTTTGAAGAGCCAGGTAGTTTTAGATGTAGAAGATTTTACAGATGTTAGAAGTTTAGACCGTGTGTGCTGTTGTGGGTGAGGGATGAACCATTTGCCAGATTCAGTACTTGAAAGGCCAGTGTGTGAACCCTCAGTAACAGAGGAGGCAGAAAAGATCCTCCTGCAAAGGTGACTGCAGCAGTTCTTACCAACACATCTTCTAATCTGTGTTGGAAGGTGAGTGTGTTTTGTGGAAGATGTTTTGTCTCTCCATTTCAGCCCCACCATTGCAACCTCCCTGGAGTTTTTAGGGGTGTTTTGAGGTAGCAGCTACAGTCCTGCTGTGCCTTAAATTGAAAGGATTATTTTATCTAGGTGCACACAAAGAGCAGAAGGAGGGACAATAGGAATGGACTGCTATGAAAGTCATGAAAAATCATACCATGTTGGAGCTTAAAAACCATTGAAACTGCAAAGGCAGTGAGATCAAAATGTGCAGCCACTCACTGCAGGCCATATGTATTTAAATTAATTAATCTCCCTCGCCCTCTTTGCAGGAACTATTAGGCTTAGTAAAAAGCAAAGTTGCTGCATTATCTTAAATCCTTGCTGTTGCTTAGGACAGAATCCTGTAAAAGGTGTCATAATGCCCTGATGTCCTCTCAGAACCTCTCGGTAACACCAGCTGATGTTTTCTCCCGTTTTGGCTGTGCAGTGCTCTCTTTTTTAGGGGGCTTTCAGCATGCTTTGTGTTTTGACCTGACACCTTTTGTGACAAGGATGGCCCTAGCTGATGTCCAGATGCTGCAGCTTTGCAGTATTGCTCAGAGTACTCAGTCCTGTTCTACTTCTCTGGTTCAGGGTCTTTCCTCATGGTTGGAAGCAGTATTTTGTTAAATAATGCACCTTGTCAAGCACAGATTTAGAGTTTGGATCTAAAGGCTGAAGTTCCTCTCAGAGATGAGACATTTTTTGGCCCAGGCAGTAATTCTTGCTTCACATCTTGGACAATAGCATTGCTGCATGAGCCTGCTGTTCCTAAGATGCTTGTTTATACTGTCTACATTGTCTCACTGGGAAGTTCCTGTATTTCCTTAAAACATTCCTAGGATAAAGTTCCTGAATTTTCTCTGGCCCAAGAAACACAAGTTCAATTAAACTGTTATTCTGGATCGCTTTATCTAGAAAAAATCTTTTAACAAAGTAATTTGGATATATATATGTATGTATATATTTGGCTTAAAAAACACAACTGTGCAGAATTTGTAGGGCTCAAGGTGTTATGCTGAACTGTTTTACCATTCTGGTAAGGAAATCAGCAGTTTGACACAGAATATTGACCTGTTGGTACTTGCACCCTTTAGCATACTCAGTCCAGACCCTTTCACCAGCAGTTCCTTTAGAAAGACATCTGCATGGCTTGTCACTCAAGCATAAAGGAACCTAGCCTTGCTCTTTGTTTTCATTTAATCACAATGCTGCAATTCTGTCTCCAAACCCCGTTTTCTTTATTGAAGCCATCCTCTGCTCTTCTTTAGAAACGGTTCCAAATAAATTAATAGACAGTGCTTAGAGAAATCGCATCTCTTTGGATTTTTACCTTCCTGTGGAATGGGGAAATCTGAGCTTTAAGCAGTACATCTGTGCAGCTGGGACTGAGTGTGTCCAGTGAGCACTTACTGATGCCTCCTTGGCCTCAGAAAAGAAATCATCTAAGCCTGCAATGAATTGATAACAAGCTGCACTATTGTTAAAGTGCTCTTTCCCGCTCCTTTGGTTATTTTTTCTCCTCTGCCCTCTCGTGCAAGCACAGTTGTCTGTGTGGCATGCTGCTAGATTAGGGAATAGGACCCCCTTTTTTTGTTTGGTTTTTTTATTTTTTACAATTCTGCTCTGTAGCCAAGTAATGCAGAGAGTGACAGTGCAAAATGAAATCAAGATACGTAATTCTGTTGTGTACGTGCTTGCATAAAAAGCAAAACAAAAAAAAAGAGCTTGGTAAAATTCAGGAGGGTTTCCCTGTCTTTGTTCTTCTCAGGAGACTGGTTCCTGTTCCATGCATATTGCAATTAAACAGTGTGTCACGGGAGATATTTAAAATGGGCTACACGTGCATTTAAATGGAAAAAGAGATATTTATAGAGCAGACATCTTAAGTATGATTTCTTAATATAGTCTGTTTGGGAATCAATGCAGGGAAGGCATAACTGACTGCAGTAACTTCAGCTGCTTTGCCTCAGCCTCTGGTGGGACCATGGAAACCCAAGCTATTGCCTCAAAAATCTCAATTTCTAACACTTGGGTGTCCCAAGGCTTAAATTTGTAAGGTGATTGACTAGTCCTAGGACTAGTAAAGACAATCACTATGTTTATTGTGCAGATTTTTCTTCTTCGTGCATATCTACCACTGACATAAAAATCCAAGTATGTTCATTGCAAAACAGAAATATCCTCAGTTTGAAATGTACCAATCATCTGAATATGAGTAAAAAACTCCATTTTTCTTTCTCCCCCTCCCATCATATGAACTTACCTTGTAAGCTTTCCTGATGGACTTGTGCTCTGTACTTGATTTTCTCCATGCTTTCTTTGACCAAGTGAAGTTTTGTAGTTGTTTTTTCTTTCACCAGAAGTCCAGTCTCTTCTCTCTAAACAAATGTCTGTTGTCTGAGCTGGCCTTGAGATGAGAAGGGGGAAAAAAAAAAAGCATTTGCATTTTGACTTTTAAAAAAAAAGTTGTCCTGTACTAAAATGTTCCACATCAGGCATAACATTTTTCTGTTCTCCAGAGCTTAAAAAAGGGCCTAAGGGGACAAGGCACATAATGAGTAACCTGACCAGGCAGTGTCTAACTGGTTTAAAACCCCTTAATCTCCCAAACTGGTGGGAACTGGAACTCACTGGTTAGGGTGAAGGTCATTCTCTTTGCTGGAAACAAGGCAGTTACAGAGTGCTGTAGTTGGGTCAGTTGAGATAAAAGGAGTCTTTTCTTTAGTGTTTTAAAAGTTAGGTGTCATAACTGTCCAGAGCAGTCAACTGCTTCATTTTCACTAGAGATGCAGTAGGCAAAGTATTCCAGCTCTTAGTTTATTCTTCTTCTTCCTGAGGGCTCTTAAGTAGCAAATAAAAAATGCTAAACTTCAGACATATGATTAATTTTACTTGCAGTACTTAATGAGTGATGATTAATTTCCTCTTCTACTTCCTGGAAGCAATATCTAGCATTTTTTAGGCATGAATAAAGCTGTTTTCTTTACCTTGAATGACTTGGTTTCTTGACCTGGTTTAAATAGATACAGAGATATCCTTCCTAACAACTTTTTTAGGGAGAAAAATACATTGGAAACAAAAGTCAGTGGAAAAGTTAGAGGAGGAAACCCTCCAACAGAGAAGGTGATCTTCTGTGGAAGCAGGTATTGAAAAGCCACAAACCTTCAACTGAGTGCAGGAAACAGATTAATTGTAAGAAAGGATAAAATCTTGTATTCCTTCAAAGAAGAAACTTCTGGCAGTAGAGTGTGAAATGTAAAAAAAATTGCACATTTGCAACTCTTTGCCTCACACTGACTGAACTAAAGAATGCTGAAGCTTGGAGCCCTTGCCTCTTGTAGCTGTTCAACTCCATCACAAGCATTTTGCTGTAAGAGCTTTAAAAGTGCAGGATCTTCCTGTGTGGGGGTCCAGGCACTGACTCATCAATTCAGAAGTGTAGAGCCTTCAAAGTGGAAGGTGGGAGTTCAAGGATTTGATGCATTAATATCTTAAGCAGCCTTGCATGTTGCTTTGGAAGTCCTCTTTGCCAAGTTACAATGATCCAAGTAAGGAAAAGCAGCTTGAGCTCTCAGGCAGCACAAAAATGCTGAGGGGACTGGAGCATCTCTTACCAGGACAGGCTGAGGGAGCTGGGCCTGGGCAGCCTGGAGAAGACTGAGAGGATCCCATCAGTGGCTGAGTATCTGCAGGGAGGCTGCCAGAGGATGGAGCCAGGTTTTTGGTGGGGCCAGGCAATAGGACAAGGGGCCATGGGCAGACACTGATGCTCAGAAGTTCCACCTGAACATGAGGAAGAACTTCTTTCCTGTGCAGTGACCGTGCACTGGAACAGAATGTGCAGAGAGGGTGTGAAATCTCCCTTTGGGGAGATGTTCCAGAACCATCTGGAGGCAGTGCTGTGTCCCATGTGCTCTGGGGTGGCCCTGCTCGAGCAGATGTCCCACTGTGGTCCCTTCCAAGCTGACCCAGTCTGTGATTCTATGTCATTTTCACAGCTAAGTCAGATGATGCCTGAGTTTGGAAGGGAAAAGGCTTATTCAACTGAATTATTTTCTGAAAGTAGCTCACTGTTCAGCATCAAAAACCTTAAGATTTCAGCTAAAATGGTTTTTGTCAATTCTGATGTGAAACAAACTTGGTTTGAAGTAAAGGGAGCTATTTCTTCCTTAGGTTGCTCACTGATGAGCCTGGATTGTGTCTTTTGGCAGCTTTGAACAGGATGTGACTTTAAGATGCTCAGGATTTAAAAGGAGTGGAGGATTGTGAGCACTGGTTGAGTTGCATAAAATCATGTGTAATTTAAGTTCTGAAATATAGTGCTAATGTGGAGTTTCTAAATGTATTTTTAGAAACCTAAGAAAGTTCACAGAATATGGGCTAAACAATGTATCTTTAAAAACTTGAAGTTTTTAAAGTATCTTTTAAGGATCAAGTCTCTATCAACTATGATCCTAGTATGAAATATTCTGTCCTGCACTGCCATGCATTTAGCTCCTACATTAGGTGAGGTTAATTGAACAGGGGATGGGAAGGTGGCTTTTGGGAACAGGGAGAAGTGTTTTTAAAAGGCCTGGCTCTGCAGTGTGATGAGAACCATTATAATTCTGTGATTGGTGAATCACTGAAGCATTCCTGTGGGGAGACTGATGGCTCAGTGTTACTTGTCACAGGGTGCCACTAGTTAAAAATACTGACACTAAGAATGCATAGGCTGCTATTTCTTGTCCTGCCAGCTGTGCTGCTATAGCTGCAAGGGCTGGGAATGGGATAACTCCAGGAAAGTCTTCACTCCCAGTAGAATAAGGCTGAAAATAAAAGGCATGGTGACTTTTTGTGCATTGCTGGAATTGTGCACTATTTTTGGTGTTTGCAATATTACCTTAGGTGGTACCAAATGGGTTTTGTGGCCCATTACATCACTTTTTAAAATTCAGTTCAAAGTCCAGTGGAACTAATCTGTGGCTTTTGAGTTACTGTACATGAACTTAAAAATGAGTGCAGAACAATGATTTCCTACCACAGTGGGAGCAGATTAAAGCAGGGAGTGCAACTAATACAATTTTATTTTTCAAAAACATGTTTTCCATACTGAAAATAGAAGACAGAACACTTCTAGTATTGTGTCACTGTGGCATTTCTAAATTTATATAACTGAAATGTGTGTCTAGGCATGTCTGGTTTTGGGGGTTTTTTTTGAAAGTCATTTTCAAGCTGAAGTCCCAATAAAGCAAAGGGTTATTGAGCTAGCTCAAGATGTTACAGAGGCAGCATCCCTGTTTCTAAGGGTGAGGTTCAAGAACTGTGCATGATAGATGCAGCTGATCTTACCTTTATGCTTCTGTGCAAAACAGTTAATACCTGGTTTACTTGTCCAGTCAGACTTCAGTGTTTCAGAGGAACCTCTGTTCTCATACTGTGTATTTCTAAACAAAGCCCTTTTCATTGTTCCTTGCACCAATATGCTAATTGTTTGCCAGCTGTGCACAAAGAAACTGTGTCCTGGTTACAAAATTCCCTGTTCTGGAGCTTGGTTAATTTCTTCTATACATGAGATTTGCTGCAATTACAGTAGTTCTTGTGATTGTTTCAGTTAAAAATTTAATTAATGTTCTTAAATTCAGATTCTTTGGACTTCTAAAATAAATGATGCTTTATTTACCTGGTGGTTCTGAAGAACCATGGACCTCCATGTCTTAAGTGAAGACATAAAATAGCTTTTTTGCTGGGCTGGATGACTTGTCAGTGGGGTAGCTCTGAGCCATAGTACTCACATATTCTGCAGTAGTGCATAGCATTTCAGTATTATCACAAATTCAGTGGGTTTTGACTTGAGTTACTGCCTTTACGTGAGAGTGCAGCCAGTGATTTCTAAGAGAAGCTGTGAGTAGTTCCTGTTCAAACTTCAATGTGTGGGAGCAAAGTCTCAGAGCTGTAGCCTACTATAGCAGTCTTGTAAGGCTTTGAATGCTGTAAAATGTAATGACTTCAGTGGGTAAAAGTGCAGTATTGAGGCACTGACTGAGGAGTTGAGCAGGCAGTGTCAGTGTTCTCCAGCTCTTGGAGAGGAGATGTGTGTGAAGGTGATAGTGAGCAGTGATTGCTGGCTGAATGAGGAGTCTCTTTTACTCTTCTCAGCAAAACTTCTCTCATACAAATTTAACTTTAGGAAGAAGCAATTGGTTTGTGTGTGTCAATCAAAATACAAATATGCCTTGTGTGTGTAACAATTTTAATTCTGTACATCTGCCAATTTGTTGTTGTGATTGACCTCAAATTTTTTAATGAATGCCTCAAAATTTTTTTGAGGTTAGGTGGTAAATTGAAGAGGAAGAGTTTCTAAATGGTGATCAGTGAGGTTGTAGGCAGCAGGCCTGTAGAAATTCGACAGTGCCATTGTCTGCACAGTGTGATTGTGGACTCTGGGCACATGTGCTTACCTGGTGGTTTGGGAAAGTTAAGGATCATGAGACTCAAATAATTACACAGCTGCACTGCAGAGGGGGAAGGCCACTTGGTTAAGGTGTTTCTGTGGCATAGAGCTCTCACATAGCAGAGATGGGAAATCTCGATGGGGGTGATGGTAGATGCATCCCGTTCAAAAGGTGTTGGGTTCAAAATGTGCAGTTGTTGCTTTTGGTCAGGAGGGAGGACAGCGAGGGCTGAGCAGAGCCTCAGGAGCTGCCTCACTAAAGCTTTCATCTTCCTCTGCTTGTATTGCAGTAATGCTGTTTACTCTGCTGGGATACTCATCTGCTACAGAGCTTATTCTGCTGGATTTACCAATTTAATTCTTGGCAGAATTATCAATTGTCCAGAATTAATTGCTATGAAAATACTGACATCAGTGAAGCTAAATTTTTACTTCTGTTTAATATGTTGCATTTCTATTTTCTTAAAAAAGCTACTCTAGTTTGCTTTTTAACCAGAAAAAGAAAATCAATCCTCTGTAGGCAAACCATGTGTCTGAACTGAATAAATCTTAAGCTGAAGTCTTTCTTTCCATAGTATGTATTCAGTTGAACTGGGGTGAGGCTTATCAAAAAGTTTCAGGTGCATCCTGTGAGAAATAAGGGAAGAACTAAATCTGAAAGATCGTTCTTGAAACAGGCAGCAGGACTAAAATGAGGCATTAGAGGTGGTGAAATGGTTAAACATGCAGGTTTTGAGGGCTGTGGGTGAGTTACTGATTGCAGGTAGTGAAATTTAGGAGATCACGAGGTAAACCAATTTAAATGCTATATATACCATTGCCTGAGGGCTTCTTTGGGACTGGGGGAAAGAGGTCAGATCTTTTTTTTCCACTGCAATCATACTCTCCTTCTAAATTCCTGAATTAATGGTTTGTGGCAGCCTGGGACTGGCTCAAACTGGAATTGTAACAACTTAGCCGAAGGAAATACAGACACTTTAATTACTTTGTGTGATTTGACTTTGCTGCTGGT